TCGGGTTGTTATTCTTCTTCGGGGTTGTAATATTCTTCTTCGGGTTGTTATTCTTCTTCGGGTTGTTATTCTTTCCTTTGGGTTGTTATTCTTCTTCGGGTCGTTATTCTTCTTTGCGGGTTCGTTATTCTTCTTCGCGTTGTTATTTCTTCTTCGGGTGTTATTCTTCTTCGGGTTGTTATTCTTCTATTCTTCGGGTTGTTATTCTTCTTCGGGTTGTTATTCTTCTTCGGGTTATTCTTCTTCGGATTGTTATTCTTCTCGCGGTTGTTATTCTTCTTCGGTTGCTTATTTCTCTTCGGTCGTTATTCTTTCTTCGGTTGTTATTCTTCTTCGGGTCGTTAATTCTTCTTCGGGTTGTTATTCTTCTTCGGTTGTTATTCTTCTTTCTTGTTATTCTTCTTCGGGTTGTTATTCTTCTTCGGGTCGTTATTCTTCTTCGGGTCGTTATTCTTCTTCGGGTTCTTATTCTCCGGGTTTATTCTTCTTCGGGTCGTTATTCTTCTTCGGGTTGTTATTCTTCTTCGGGTCGTTATTCTTCTTCGGGTTGTTATTCTTCTTCGGGTCGTTATTCTTCTTTATTCTTTTCGGGTTGTTATTCTTCTTCGCGGTTGTTATTCTTCTTCGCGTTGTTATTTCTTCTTCGGGTTGTTATTCTTCTTCGGGTTGTTATTTCTTCTTCGGTTTGTTATTCTTCTTCGGTTGTTATTTTCTTCTTCGGGGTTGCTTATTCTTCTTCGGGTTGTTATTCTTCTTCGGGTTGTTATTCTTCTTCGGGTTGTTATTCTTCCTCGTTTGTTATTCTTCTTCGGGTCTTCGGGTTGTTATTCTTCTTCGCGGTTTATTCTTCTTCGGGTTGTTATTCTTCTTCGGGTGTTATTCTTCTTCGGGTTGTTATTCTTCTTCGGGTTGTTATTCTTCTTCGGGTTGTTATTCTTCTTCGGGTCGTTATTCTTCTTCGGGTTATTCTTCTTCGGGTTGTTATTCTTCTTCGGGTTGTTATTCTTCTTCGGGTTGTTATTCTTCTTCGGGTTGTTATTCTTCTTCGGTTGTTATTCTTCTTCGGGTTGTTATTCTTCTTCGGGTTGTTATTTCTTCTTATCTTCTCGGTTGTTATTCTTCTTCGGGTTGTTATTCTTCTTTGGGTTGTTATTCTTCTTCGGGTTGCTTATTCTTCTTCGGGTTGTTATTCTTTCTTCGGGCTTGTTATTCTTCTTCGGGTTGTTATTCTTCTTCGGTTGTTATTCTTCTTCGGGTTGTTATTCTTCTTCGGGTTGTTATTCTTCTCGGGTTGTTATTCTTCTTCGGGTTGTTATTCTTCTTCGGGTTGTTATTCTTCTTCGGGTTGTTATTCTTCTTCGGGTTTTTTATCTTCTTCGGGTTGTTATTCTTCTTCGTGTTTATTTCTTCTTCGGTTGTGGTTTGTTATTCTTCTTCGGGCTTCAGGTTGTTATTCTTTCGGTTCTTCTTCGGGTTGTTATTCTTCTTCGGGTTTTATTCTTCTTGTTTTCTTCTTCGGGTTGTTATTCTTCTTCGGGTTGTTATTCTTCTTCGGGTTGTTATTCTTCTTCGGGTTGTTATTGTCTTCGGGTTGTTATTCTTCTTCGGGTTGTTATTCGGGTTGTTATTTCTTTTCGGGTTGTTATTTTTCTTCGGGTTGTTATTCTTCTTTGGGTTGTTATTCTTCTTTGGGTTGTTATTCTTCTTTGGGTTGTTATTCTTCTTCGGGTTGTTATTCTTCTTCGGGTTGTTATTTTCTTTGGGTTGTTATTTCTTCTTTCGGGTGTTATTCTTCTTCGGGTGTTATTCTTCTTCGGGTTGTTATTCTTCTTCGGTGTTGTTATTCTTCGGCTTCTTCTTTTGGTTTTATCTTCTTCTTCGGGTTTTATTCTTCTTCGGGTGTTGTCTTCTTCTTCGGGTTGTTATTGTCTTCAGGTTGTTATTCTTCTTCGGGTTGTTATTCTTCTTCGGGTTGTTATTGTCTTTGTGTTGTTATTCTTTCTTCGGGTTGTTATTGTCTTCGGGTTGTTATTCTTCTTCGGGTTGTTATTCTTCTTCGGGTTGTTATTCTTCTTCGGGTTGTTATTCTTCTTCGGGTTGTTATTCTTCTTCGGGTTGTATATTATTCTTCTTCGGGTTGTTATTATACTCGTTTTATTATTTTTTTGGTCAGGAAATTAATTATAATATTACTTTCTTAATAATTATTTACTACATTATATTAATAAACGTTTATTTGTTTGCTTGCTTTCATTATCATCAATTTCAGTTCAACGCAATCACTTTCACCATCATTATCATTATCACTATTATCATGATCATTTTCTTTCATTTTCATTATCATTACCACTATTATCATGATCATTTTCTTTCATTTTCATTATCATTACCACTATTATCATGATCATTTTCTTTCATTTTCATTATCATTATCACTATTATCATGATCATTTTCTTTCATTTCCATTATCATTACCACTATTATCATGATCATTTTCTTTCATTTTCATTATCATTACCACTATTATCATGATCATTTTCTTTCATTTTCATTATCATTATCACTATTATCATGATCATTTTCTTTCATTTTCTTTCATTTTCACTATTATCATGATCATTTTCTTTCATTTTCATTATCATTACCACTATTATCATGATCATTTTCTTTCATTTTCATTATCATTATCACTATTATCATGATCATTTTCTTTCATTTTCATTATCATTATCACTATTATCATGAATCATTTTCTTTCATTTTCATTATCATTATTCACTATTATCATGAATCATTTTCTTCATTTTCATTATCATTACCACTATTATCATGATCATTTTCTTTCATTTTCATTATCATTATCACTATTATCATGATCATTTTCTTTCACCATCATTATCATTATCACTATTATCATGATCATTTTCTTTCACCATCATTATCATTATCACTATTATCACATTTTCTTTCATTTCATTATCATTATATTATCATGATCATTTTCTTTCATTTTCATTATCATTACCACTATTATCATGATCATTTTCTTTCATTTTCATTATCATTATCACTATTATCATGATCATTTTCTTTCATTTTCATTATCATTATCACTATTATCATGATCATTTTCTTTCATTTTCATTATCATTATCATGATCATTTTTCATTTTTTTCATTATCATTATCACTATTATCATGATCATTTTCTTTCATTATCATTATCACTATTATCATGATCATTTTCTTTCATTTTCATTATCATTACCACTATTATCATGATCATTTTCTTTCATTTTCATTATCATTATCACTATTATCATGATCATTTTCTTTCATTTTCATTATTCATTATCACTATTATCATATCATTTTCTTCATTTTCATTATCATTATTCATATCATTTCTTTCATTTTCATTATCATTACCACTATTATCATGATCATTTTCTTCATTTCATTATCATTATATTATCATGATCATTTTCTTTCATTTTCATTATCATTACCACTATTATCATGATCATTTTCTTTCATTTTCATTATCATTATCACTATTATCATGATCATTTTCTTTCATTTTCATTATCATTACCACTATTATCATGATCATTTTCTTTCATTTTCATTATCATTATCACTATTATCATGATCATTTCTCATCATTATCATTACACTATTATCATGATCATTCATTTTCATCATTACCACTATTATCATGATCATTTTCTTTCATTTTTTATCATTATCACTATTATCATGATCATTTTCTTTCATTTTCATTATCATTACCACTATTATCATGATCATTTTCTTTCATTTTCTTTCATTTTCATTTTTCATTGCATCTTCGCATTTCAGTTTGAATTCCCACATCATTTTCTTTTCGTCAGCTTCGTTGCTCATTTTCAGTCACATTTCCTCATCATTGTCACCTCATTTTCCTCCTTCCCTCATGACTTTCTTCTCCGTTTTCTCTTCGGCTTCACTTTCATCTTCTTCTCTCCTTCTGGTACGTCATCATTTTCTCCTCTTTCTCTTCGCTTCATTCTCTTCTCTCTTTCTTCATTTTCTTTTCGCTTCATTCTCTTCCTTCCCCTTTCCCTCCATTGTCTTTCTCTTCGCCTTTGCTTCATTTTCTTTTCGTTTTCTCGTCTCCTTCACCTTCTCTCCTCCTTCAGGTGCTTCGTCTGTTTCCTTTCTGCCTTTATATCACCTCATTTATCTCCCTCTCTCTCTCTCCTCTCATTATTCTCTCCGTTTTTCTCTTCGCCTTCAACATCATCTCTTCTTGTGCGTTTCCTCTTCGCCTCCACCTTCATCTTACTTTCTCTTCACCTTCACCTTTTCGTTTTCTCCGTTTTTTTCACTTCCCCTTCACCTTCATCTCGTTTTCTCTTCCGTTTTTTTCAATTCTTCACCTTCATCTCAATTTCTCCGTTTTTCTCTTCGCCTTCTCGATTTCTCCGTTTTTTCACTTCACCTTCACCTTCACCTCATTTTCTCTTCGTCTTCTCGTTTTCTCCGCTTTTTCACTTCACCTTCACCTCATTTTCTCTTCGCCTTCTCGTTTTCTCCGTTTTTTTCCCACTTCACCTTCACCTTCACCTCATTTTCTCTTCGCCTTCTCGTTTTCTCCGTTTTTTTTCCACTTCACCTTCACTTTCACCTCATTTTCTCTTCGCCTTCTCGTTTTCTCCGCTTTTTCACTTCACCTTCACCTCATTTTCTCTTCGTCTTCTCGTTTTCTCCGCTTTTTCACTTCACCTTCACCTCATTTTCTCTTCGGCTTCTCGTTTTCTCCGTTTTTTTCCCACTTCACCTTCACCTTCACCTCATTTTCTCTTCGCCTTCTCGTTTTCTCCGTTTTTTCCAGTTCACCTTCACCTCATTTTCTCTTCGCCTTCTCGTTTTCTCCGTTTTTCACTTCACCTTCACCTTCACCTTCACCTCGTTTTCTCCGTTTTTCACTTCACCTTCACCTTCTTCCCTCCTGCAGGTACTTCGTCAGTTTCATCGTCCAGTTCCAGTTCCACCAGCGGCTCTGCCAAGCGGCTGGACATACGGGACCTTTGCACACCTGTGATATCTACAACAACGCGGACGCGGGACAGATTCTCAGGTGAGGGGGGGGAGAGAGGGAGGGAGGGAGGGAGGAGGGAGGGGGTGGGAAGGAGGGAGTGGGAGGGAGGGGGGGGGAGTGGGGGAGGGGGGGGAATGGGAGGGAGGGGGGAAGAGGGAGGGAGGGGGGATGGAGGAGGGAGGAGGGTGGGAGAACGGGGGATGGATGGAGGGGGAGTGGCGGGGGGGAGGTGGGAGGAGGGGGAGGGGAGGGAGGGAGGGGGAGTGGGGAAGGAGGGAGGGAGGGAGAAGGGGAGGGAGGTGGGGGAAGGAGGGGGGATGGAGGGAGGGGGGTGGGAAGGAGGGAGGGGGGGTGGGAAGGAGGGGGAGAGAGAGGGAGGGGGTGGGAAGGGGGGGAGTGGGAGAACGGGGGATGGATGGCGGGAAGGGGTGGGGGAAGGAGGGGGAGGGAGGAAGGGGAGTGGGAGAAGGGGGAAGGGGGAGGGGTGGGAGTGGGAAGGAGGAGGGAGGAGGGGGGGGGGAGTGGGAGGGGGGAAGGAGAGAGAGGGAAGGGGAAGGGAGGAGAGAGGAAGTTGGAGTAGGAAGGGGGGGAATGGGAAGGAGGGAGGGGTGGGAGTGGGAGAAGGGTTATGGGAGGGAGGAGGTGGCGTGGGAAGGAGAGAGGGTGTGGGAAAGGGAAAGAAAGAAAGTAAGTAAGAGAGAGAGAGAGAGAGACTGAAAGACAGACAGAAAAAAAGAGAGAGAAAGGTAACAAAAAGACGGAAGAGAGAAAACCAAACCCCAAATCCTACTCCAGGTCAGCCTTGGAGCGCGGGTTCTCCCAGCCCTGGCCGGCCGTTCTGCAGGAGCTGGGCGGGTCTTCGGCGATGGACCCCCAGGCCATCATCGCCTACTTCGACCCCCTGATCCAGCACCTCGACCAGGAGCTCGCCAGCGCCGGCCAGTGCGTGGGCTGGGGAGGTACGTGTGCGGTTGTCTGGTTGGGGTCTTCGGGGCTGTTGCAAGCGAGGGGGCGGTGTTTGTCGTTTGTTTGTTTGTTTGTTCACTTTCAAAGGCTGATTCTTTTACAGCTGATTGCGATACTGGTGATGAGGTCGAAGCTTCTTCCACCGACGCTCCTCCACCACCGGAATCCTCCACCGACGCTCCCACGCAATCCTCCACCGACGCTCCCCACCACCGCAATCCTCCACCGACGCTCCACCACCGCAATCCTCACCGACGCTCCCTCCTCCACCGACGCTCCCCCACCACCGGAATCCTCCACCGACGCTCCTCCACCACCGCAATCCTCCACCGACGCTCCTCCACCACCGCAATCCTCCACCGACGCTCCCCCACCACCGCAATCCTCCACCGACGCTCCTCCACCACCGGAATCCTCCACCGACGCTCCCCCACCACCGCAATCCTCCACCGACGCTCCTCCACCACCGGAATCCTCCACCGACGCTCCCCCACCACCGCAATCCTCCACCGACGCTCCTCCACCACCGCCTCCACCGACCTCCCCCACCACCGCAATCCTCCACCGACGCTCCTCCACCACCGACGCTCCCCCACCACCTCCTCCACCGACCACCGCAATCCTCCACCGACGGGAATCCTCCACTAGCGCCCCCTCGACGGACGACTCCACCACCACCACTTTAGCCCCAACCACAGTGGACCCCAACGACGAGGAGAGCGCCCGCCTCGCCCTCCAGCAGATGAACGACGAAATGACGGAACTGATTCGCAACGCTACGTTCATCGACTGGGAATACTCCATCGACGTCACGGATGAGAACGAAGAAGCCTCGGTGAGAGAGGGAGAGAGAATCGGAATGACGGTCGCATGCTTAGAGAAATTGTGGAATGCACTCCTGGTAGTCCAAGCTCATCTACTAGGGAATAATAACGCCCAAAACAAAACAAAAAACAAAACAAGCTCATCTACTAGGGAATAATAACGCCCAAAACAAAACAAAAAACAAAACAAAATCAACTGATATACCAAAATAAAGCAAGAGGATAAGGACATTGCATTTTTGACACTGGCAGTCCTGAAGTTCTTTAAGCATACGGCCATACGAGTCAGATAATTTATTTAGTCAAATATTACAAGATGTTGGACTGAATGAATTATTTGATTCTAATTCCGACTCACCTGATTCATTTTGCTAAATGTTACAAAATACGAAAAAGCATGATATGACATTATACAACATGGCCCTCTATGAGTCCAACTCATAGAGGGCTCGCAGTA